TGTGTGTGTGTGTGTGTGTGTGTGTGTGTGTGTGTGTGTGTGTGTGTGTGTGTGTGTCTCCAGGTGTGTATTGAAACCTACTTGTCCAGCTGTCACCAGCGCAGCATCAACACGGCAGTGAGAGCGACGCTGAGTCAGATTCTGGGAGACCTGACGCTGCAGCTGCGACACCGACAAGAGGTCACACACAACACAACACAACAGGGACACACAAGCATACAAAACCCAAAAGACAACACAATAAGTGCACACACACACACACACACACACAGGAGCTGAGTAGTTCAGGGAACCTCAGAGATTTATTAAACAGATATAAAGTCATATATTTTCATTAATATCAAAAATAAATATCTTTTAGTTATATATGATCATACTTCAGTGTTTTAAAATAGTTGGTTGTGACAGTTTGTTGCTCTGCAGCTGCTCAGGTAACAACAGTGAATGTAAATTGTGATGATGAAAGATCACTGATGATATTTTATTTCCATAAATCAGATGAAAACACAGTTTTAGTGAATCAATTTCTCACCGATCAGAAACATCAGTTTTTTTATCTTTGTTGTTTCCCGTGTTGACACAAACACACTGACAGTAACACACCCGCTGTGTGTCGTCCTCAGGGTGCAGACGGAGATGAGGTGACATCACTGCCGCTGCAGAGGAAAGGTATCACTGTCGTTATGAAACCGCTGGTATCTGCAGGTGGAGGCCAGCAGATCCTCCTCATGATGCTTTGAACACACACACACATACACTCTCACTGTGTGTGTGTGTGTGTGTGTGTGTGTGTGTTGCAGATGTGTCTCCCACCAGTCAGGCTCTGTGTGAAGACGTGGTGACAGTTCTGACAGTTTTCTGTGAGAAGCTGGAGTCAGTCGACAGGTACTACGTCCAAATATGAATTCAATAAAGAGTTTAATGTCTTGGATGAATCTCCAGAAGTTCTTGAACATGATCTTAAATCGTTGTTGAAGATCTTCAGTGGGACACTAATGATCGTACGAGGTGGACTTCTGTCTGTCAGCAGGTGGACGCCTCTCATCTGTCTCTCCTCTGTGTGTTTTCTCGTCACAGTGAGAACCAGCTGCTGCAGCTTCTCTACCTCGAGTGCATCCTCTCCATGCTCAGCAGCTGTCCTCCCACAATGCACCTGTCCAGAGGTTTCACCGACCTCGTGTGGTAAGACACGTAACACGTCTGCAGTGTGTCTGCAGCACTCATGAAGGACTATAGAAGACAGTATGATGGGGTCAATGCCCTAATGTTGTTTATTATGGGATGTTTTACCTGCGTGTTTAAACGGAGACATCCTGGACAGTGGGACGTTTTTAACTTTATTCTTCTCACCGTCTGTCTTTATTGTAATGTTCTGTTTTCTTATTGGCTTATTAAATGTTCAGGAAGCAGCTGTGTCCGTCCCTCGTAGCGATCATGGGAAACCCCGTCAACGACAAAACCATCGCCTCCCACCATGGCCACTTGGGGGCAGCAGACAGAGAGCGGCTCTCAGACAGACTCAGTCTTGGTCAGGACAGTTTGAGTTTAACGTTCACATCAAACTTTAATATGACTGATTTTAACCTTTTTCTTCTGTCAGGAATCAACCAGGAGGCGGAGCCCTGTGGCGGAGGAGTGTCTGATCAGGGCAGGGGTTCCGGCTGCTCGTCCAGCCCCCCTGCCAGGATTGCACCTGTGGTGCGGACGGTGTGTTACATTGCGGCAGAGCTGGTGCGCCTGGTGAGCTGCGTGGAGTCGATGAAGCCGGTGCTGCAGTCGCTTTACCACCGGATCCTCCTGTACCCGCCTCCGCAGCACCGCACAGAGGCCATACGCATCATGAAGGAGGTGGGAGGAGTCATAACATTATTAACGTTTGTGTCATCAGACAGACGCTGTGTAATGTATTCAGAAGTACAAAGGTGTGTGTGTGTGTGTGTGTGTGTGTGTGTGTGTGTGTGTGTGTGTGTGTGTGTGTGTGTGTCAGATCCTGGGCAGCCCTCAGCGGCTCTACGACCTCGCCGGTCCGTGCGTCGCTGAACCTGAAACCAGGAAGCGCTCGTTCTCAAAGAGGAAGTCACACCTGGACCTCCTCAAACTGTCAGTTACTCCTCCCTCTTTCTGTTCTGCTGTTTCATTGGCTACAAGCAGAGTTTCTGCAAATGAGTTGAGTTATGTGATGTCATCGTGTTGGCGTGTGTCTGTCCTGCTGCAGAGTGATGGATGGGATGACAGAGGCGTGTGTGAAGGGAGGTATCGAGGCTTGTTACTCGTCCGTCTCCTGCGCCTGCGCTCTCCTCAGAGCGCTGGACGAGCTGTCGCAGGGCCGCGGCCTCCAGCCCGAGCAGGTACGTCCCCGAGACACGAAGCCTCAAACATCACAGGATTTTCATTCATAGTCGGTGACGGCGTTGAACTCAACTCAGACCAAATGTCTGAAACGAGCGGTTTGAGTGTGAAACTGATTCAGCAGCTGTTTGTCAGGCGCGGCTTCTCCTCAGACGATTGGACGACCTGAAGGACGGGACGGAGTCCACGCGTGAGTCCATGGAGATCAACGAGGCCGATTTCAGATGGCAGAGACACATCCTTTCCTCCGAGCAGCCCCCGTGGGACACTGGCTCCTCTGCCCCCAACATGTCCACCACTGGGGCAGCGGAGCGCAGCCCCGACATCAGCATCAGCATCACCACGGAGACGGGCCAAACCACCCTGGATCTGGAGGCGGGGGGGCTTGGCCTTGGCCCCGGTCACACCACTCCTGAAGAATGTGGCGAGGACGCTCAACTCCCCTCGCCCTTGTTCTGCAGCGACCAGGAAGCAGCCAAGCATGAACAGAGCGCAGAGACGAACCAGGTTCGGCAGCAGGAGGAGGGGGGAGGTGCAGGGGAAGTTGAAGAGAGGGGGGAGAGAAGAGGAGGAGGGGGTGTGGTTCCTCCAGATGTGGTCCAGCGGAGTCATGCCCTCGTTTACCCCGACATCACCAACTTTCTGTCTGTGGAGTCCAGGACCAGGTCACATCACGCCGGAGGATCACGATACAGCGAGAGCAACTTCAGGTATGAGTGTGAACGTGACATCATGATGACATCATGATGACATCATCAGTGTAATGTTTCCCTCAGATGATATCGTTAAGATAAATGACATATTGACTCTGTGGGTCCAGCAGTATGGAGGAACAGGACCTGTCACGGACAGAGTTCGACTCATGTGACCAGTACTCCATGGCGGCTGAGAAAGACTCGGGCCGCTCCGACGTCTCTGACATCGGCTCCGACAACGTCTCCCTTGCTGACGAGGAGCAGCAGACGCCCCGCGACTGCCCGGGCCACCGCTCGCTCCGCACTGCCGCCCTGTCCCTCAAGTTGCTCCGCCACCAGGAGGCCGACCAGCAGAGCACCAGGCTGTTCGTCCAGTCGCTGGCGGCGCTGCTGCCGCGGCTGCTGGGCCTCGCCACCGCCGCCGAAGTCGACCTCTCCCTGCAGAAGTTCTCCTCCAACTTCTGCACCGGACTGCAGGCTGGTGTGTGTGTGTGTGTGTGTGTGTGTGTGTGTGTGTGTGTGTGTGTGTTTAACCTTGTACCCACGTCCCAGAATCCATGCATAAGAACACAAAGCATTCTGGGAGTTTACATCAGAGCGAGATAATGAATCACATTAATCCTCACAGTAAAAACGGATCAATCAGTGAATAGTTTCTTCTTCACTCACTCTGACGTTAAAGCTGCAGCTGTCGTTTTCACCCCCCCCCCCCCTCAAGGTGGGATCCACTCCCCAGGTTTCGAGGCGGCCGACGCTCTGAGCGTTCAGTCTCTGATGAACGCAGACGGTCTGTACCTGGTGTCGTACTCCGCTCTGCTGCTCAACCTCAAGCTCTGCTGCTGCGACTATTACAGACGACGAACGCTGGCGCCCGCCCTCGGCCTGGTGAGTCTCACTTCCTGCCTCAAAGAGAAGAGGAGGGGCTTCAGAGAGTTCTCCAATATTTAATAATATAAAATATAAAAAATAAATCAACTGTATGTCGAAGATAAAAAATAAATAAAATCTTTGTGTGTGTGTGTGTGTGTGTGTGTGTGTGTGTGTGTGTG